CAGTCTCCTCCAAGCTTAGTATTCACACAGCATCCTTGAGAGGCAGTAAGTTGCTGCTGTAAAAATTTAAATAGCTTTAGAGCCTTCTCCTTTCATGGAACTGAGCAGAGATATTGCACTGCAGGTTGCATAAAATATTGTGCCCCAAATGAGACACCTGCAGTATGTTCTCCACGTGGAAGTTATTATCATTTGTCATATAAAAAATTAAAAAAAAAGAGGTTGATACCCTCCTCTGACATTGCCTTTTGCAATTGCAAATAATATAAATGAAATAGAGGAGAGTTCAGTGGAGAAACCAACTCTTGGAGGCCTCAATTTCAGTGTTCACTCCTGGATTCGAAAAAACGGCTTTAAAAATGAATTGCTGGTATAAACCTGCACATTTGCAAAGCTGATTTCACTGGCTGTACCCACTCCCCTAACCAGAGTTAGGCACGAGGCATGCACTGAGCTGGAGAGGTTCTGCAGCCTTCACAACTCCCAAGGAAAACTCAGAAATTCCTTCTCCCTCACTCTGGTGTGGCACTGAACAACAATGACAACGCTCCTCCTGGGAGGGCAAGGTGTGAGCACCAGGACAGAGAACATTTCCTAAGATGGGGAGCATTTATAGTTCACCTTCTCTGGGGGACCCACGTTAAAAATCAGTGTTCAAACACTGAGAATCAGAAGGAAAAAGGCCACCTACCTCTCTTGTTGGGACGAGTATAAGTGCATAAGGGCCATCGCTGCGCTGCAAACACACAAGGTCAGGTCCACTACGAATGTAGCACCAATAAACAGAGAACTTCCACACCTCACAGCTCTCAGACAACACTGAGAGTTCTGAAGGGCTTCAGTACGAGTTTGTACACAACATTTTAGGGTATTGCCACCTTAAAAAATTTTTAAAAAATCAAGTCTTTCCCATATCAATCCTGTGTTGGCTTCTCTTTCCTGCTGGAACCTGCTCACAATCAAACCCAACACTTTATTCCACACACACCTTGTTTCACTCTTGTATTTCTGAGCTGCACAAACACTCTCCTGTTCGATGAACAGCAACGATCTACAGGTAACCCCTGCAGAAAGCAACTACCTAGGATGGGCTGGAAACACTTCCACCTGTAAGTCAGGATGACCCCTTTCCTTAAAAAGATGGGAGATCTGCAGCAGCATTTCCTGGTCAACCAGATGATCCAAACTGGGAGCAATTATCAGATCTCACTCCATGTCAAAGTCTAGTTAAAAACAAGGCAGTAACCTTTGTTTTCAGTTCTCCCAGTTTCCAGACCACTGTTTCTTCTGCACTCTGTCCTCTCCAACCCTGGAAATTCAGCCCATTTTCAGTTTACCCTCCTCCCAGGAGCAATGGGGAATGAGTGACACTGATCTTGGATCTCAACAGAACAGGAGGATCCCACACATCCCGTGCACAAATAAAGGGGAGGACACACTGATTGACCTTTGCAATAAGAAGAGACAGTAATGACTACAAGAGCTGGATTTTATTTTTATTAATCTTACTATCAAAAGCAAATGTATTTAATTCTGTTGCACCTACCTGTATTTTGGATTCCATTCCTTGCAAAGACTGTACAAGTGGAATTCCATAGGCAAGAGTTTTACCTTTTTGAAAGGGAGAAAATCAGAAAACTTTCCATTAAAAAAAAAAAAAAGAAGTGGCAATTCAGCAAATTAAAGCACCATTTATCCCACCATTCTTAAACTGCAGTCAGAGCCTGGCTCCCCACCAGCCGTCCCAGCCTGGTACTGTATGAGCTGTACTGGGAATGTGAGGTTTAAGTTCTGTGTTTTTGGGACCCAGTTAAAATGCCCTAAGGAAGGAGAGTGACAATTCAGCACCGACCTGAGCCAGTCTGAGATCTCACCAGAGCATCTCTGCCTTGCAGGAGCACAGGAATTGTTTGCTTCTGAACGCTGTGTGACAAACCAAACAGGTGAGGAAAAACAAATGAAACAGAGAATAGAACCCTACAGCTTTCACATGCAGTTTGTTTCCCCTCAAATTCCACACATTTATCTCTGCTGTGTGGCTACATCAGCTAAGCTGATTTCCAAGCAGGGCCATTGGAGAGGCATCAGATGTGATCAGTTCAAATCAGGTTTTTATGATTCAAGGACCAAACTAGAAGGCAGGACTCCCAGGTTCCACCTTCAGCTGTGACCTCCTGTGTACCTAACAAGTTATTTCCCATCCCAAACTCTGAAAGCAACAAACCCCAAAGCAAACAGCACTGTGGTCTTCACAAACCAATTACATATAATGAAACAATCACAGATGACTGGCTTTAGGGGGTAGTGAAGCACAAAGATTTTATATGAATTTGCTTACCTGGTCATGGTACTTATGTTTAGGACAGCGTTTATGGTGGAGATCTAGAGAGACAATAAAGAGCAGTAAAGGTTTCATTGTCAAATTGTTCCTTTTATCATTTTTTTTTGTAACACAAGACAGAGCAAAAACCAGGAGATTGATGTTTATTTTCTACGTAGCTGGTCCAGGACAACCAAATATAAAGTTCTGATGTCCTCAAAGTACTTCCTAGTTAATCAGAATTACACCATTGCTGGTTTTCTGGGGTTTTTTGGTATTACAGCTGCAAGCAGTGAAGGTGCTGGGACTGTGTTTGGGTCAGGACAGGGACCAGCACCTTGAGCTCAGAGACTGCAACAGAATCAGCTGAAGAACTGGCAGCCCTGTCCAGGTCACCACCAATAAAGGTGCCCCTCTCAGCTTTCTAACCTGCTCCCCACCCAAAAAAAACCATGTTTTGAGCTGTGCAGCCTCCCTGCCACTCACCAGATGAGGATGGAGGTCCAACTGGCCGAAAGAATCCGTAGTGAAAACATTTTCTTGCACCTGCTGCACTGCTTTTCTGAGCCAGGGGAAACAAAGCAAACGAAGCACAAAGTGGGGTTAAAAAATTATACATCAACATTCTACACAAACAGCAGAAAAACTGCAGTACCCAGCAAGGGCAAGAATTCAAGACACTGACTATCAAGGCACTGAAAGGGTTTTTTTTCCCCCTCCCATTTGTCTCGAATACCTGTGAATTTCTGGGATATCTGGGTTGTTCTTGAACAGGCTGGATGTCTTGATGAAAGGTCTGCCCTTCTGGCTTTCATTTTGCTTGTCAGGCAGCTGCTTCTTGTTCTTGCCAACGGGCCTTTGTGGTGGGTTCCCCTTGTCCCTCGTGTCAGCCTCTGGGGCACCTTTCCTGAAGGTGTTGAGGGAGGGTTGGCGTTGGCGTTTCACGGGTGGGGTCCCGTGTGGCGACTGGAGCTTCCTCTTCAGAGCATCAGGTGGCTTCAACAAGAACAAATCAGAGTCACTGTGACTGACAATGAACAGGATATCATGGCCAGCAAAACACCTTGTTTTTAGAATCATTTGCTCATTCCTAAAGGAATTCGTGCACCTTCTCCAGCGACTCAGCAGAACAAGCTTTAAAAAAACCTGTTCCTCAAGCTCTGCAGATCTCCAGCCCACACTGAAGCCATCCCTGCAGGATTCCCTCTTTCTGTGGGCACGAGGGATGGCCTGGACTTCCCTCCAACTTACGCTGCTGCCAACTCTCAGCATTTCTGAGCTCTTGGTTTCTCCTCCTGCAGCTGATCTTCAATCCCCTCAGAAAAAGTCTTGCTCTTCTCATATCCCTCCAGGAAGAGTGAATTAGCAAATTAAACTTCATTTGTCCCCCTGCCCTTTTCCAATGAACGTGTTTTCCCCCATCACAACTGCAAAGCTCCTGAAATGTGAAACACCAGCGGAATCTCACCCCGTTTCCCCCCTCTGAGTTGTACACTCTTTGTCTTCCCACAAACCGCACTGTCCTCAGGCTCTCTTATTTTTTTCACCTGTTTCTTCACATTATGGGCAAACAACCAAAACCCAACCTCCCTCCACCAACAATCACCATCAGAAAAGGCGGGGTGCCCTGTCTCAAAGCACCTGATACAACCAGGATAAATCCTGTCACTCCCTTCACTCACACACCCTTCAGCACAGTATTTCAAGAGCAATTTAAAAATTCGGAATAACAACCGAAACAGCCCAGAACCACTGTAACAACAACTGAAAACGTCTATTTAACCTGCTTTTATTCTCCTTTCCTCAAAGCAAAGCATCCAATCCTGCATCTCACAGCACTTCCCACAATTAGAAGTTTCCTTTAAAGTATAAGATCTCCTCTCTTTGGCAGCATTTTAAAGCATCGGGGGATGAGGCCGGGAGAGCTGGGGGAGCATCACCCGCGGGTCAGGGATCGGTGAGGGCAGGACCGGGCTGTGCCCCCGCAGCGCACCCGAGGGGCTCGGGGGAGCTCGGACCTGCTTGACCCCGAGACCCCGACCCAGGGAGCCCTTGCGAGCCCCCGGAGCGGGATCAGACTCGGGGGGTGACGGGGTACCCACAAAGCCCCATTTAACAACTTGCCGGACGCTCAGCCCCCGAGCCCCGGGCCGGTCGGGGTGTCCCGTGCCCCGCAGTGTCCCCTGCCCCGCAGTTCCCGCAGTGTCCCCCCGTGTCCGGCACATCCCTATGTCTGGCACATCCCCGTGTCCCGCACATCCCCCTGTCCCGCCGTTCCCGCTCCCCCCTCGTACCGCGCCGATCCCGCGCGGCCCCGCTCCTGCCGCCATGTCCCTCCCTCTCCTCTGCAGGCCCCCGGGGCCGCCCCTCGCCCGGCCCGCTCCGTGAGGGTAGAGCGGCGGCCAGCCCGGCTCCCCCTCCCGGGTACCGGCGTCCTCCCGCCACCCCCTGCCCACCCCTCAGGGCCGCGGGGGGCTCGGGGGTCTCCCCGCTCCCCTCCCACCCGCGTCCTGGCCCCGCGGGGCGCGCAGGCGGCGGCGGGGGCAGCCCCGGGCCGGGCCCGCCCGGGGGGACCTCGGCAGTGGCGCGTGCGCGCGGCCCGGGAGGCGGTGGCAAGATGGCGGCAGCGGGGCGGGAGGAGCCGCCGCTGAGGCTCGAGGTGGCGGCGGAGGAGGCGGCGGCGAGCGCCGGGTTCCGCCTCACGGCCGTGCGGCGGGAGCCCGCGGTGCGGCTGCAGCACGGCGCCAGCGGGCTGGAGCCGCTGGCGTGGTCCGAGGACCACCGGGTGTCGGTGAGCACGGCCCGCAGCATCGCCGTGCTGGAGCAGCTCAGCGATGTGCACAGCGGCGGGCAGGACATGGTCATCCACCGCACCGCAGTGCCCGCGCCCGCCGCCGCCTGCGTGCTCAAGGTGAGAGCCCGGCACGGCCCCAGGGGCACCCTCGTTAGTGGGACCTCGTTAATGTGTGTGAATATTTAAAGGGGGGCTCCGCTGGGGAGCTTCAGGCTGGACATCGGGAGGGTTTTCTTTAATTGTCTAAAAAATTAGTTGTACGATTGTTTTAATGGCTCTTTTTGTTGCCCTGCAGGTGGGCCCCAAAAAGGAGGTGGCCGAGTGCAAGGAGAAGTTCGCCAGCTCCGCGGATCCCACCGTGAGCCAGACGTTCATGCTGGACCGAGTGTTCAACCCCGAGGGGAAGTCCCTGACACCCATGAGGGGCTTCAAATATTCCAGCTGGTCCCCTCTGGGCTGTGACGCCAACGGGAGGTGCCTGCTGGCCGCCCTGACCATGGACAACCGGCTGACCATCCACGCCAACCTCAACCGGCTGCAGTGGGTGCAGCTGGTGGACCTGACCGAGCTCTACGGGGAGCGCCTGTTCGAGGCGGGCTACAAACTCTGCAAGGGCGACGCCCCCCGCGGGGAGCTGAGCGACTTCCCCGAGTTCCAGCGGCGGCACAGCATGCAGGCCCCCGTGCGCATGGAGTGGTCGGGCATCTGCACCACCCAGCAGGTGAAGCACAACAACGAGTGCCGGGACGTGGGCAGCGTGCTCCTGGCCGTGCTCTTCGAGAGCGGCGGCATCGCCGTGTGGCAGTTCCAGCTGCCCTTCCTGGGGAAGGAGTCCATCACTTCCTGCAACACCATCGAGTCCGGGATAAGCTCCCCCAGCGTGCTGTCCTGGTGGGAGTACGAGCACGGCAACCGCAAGATGAGCGGGCTGATCGTGGGCAGCGCCTACGGCCCCGTGAAGATCCTCCCCGTCAACCTCAAGGCGGTCAAGGGCTACTTCACGCTCAGGCAGCCCGTGGTGCTGTGGCAGGAGATGGACCAGCTGCCCGTGCACAGCATCAAGTGCATCCCCCTCTACCACCCCTACCAGAAGTGCAGCTGCAGCTTGGTGGTGGCTGCGAGAGGCCCTTACGTGTTCTGGTGCCTCCTGCTGATCTCCAAGGCGGGCCTGAACGTCCACAACTCCCACGTGACGGGGCTCCACTCGCTGCCCATCGTGTCCATGACGGCGGACAAGCAGAACGGCACGGTGTACACCTGCTCCAGCGACGGGAAGGTCAGGCAGCTCATCCCCATCTTCACGGACGTGGCCCTGAAGTTTGAGCACCAGCTGATCAAGCTCTCGGAGGTGTTTGGCTCCGTCAGGACTCACGGAATCGCTGTCAGCCCGTGCGGGGCGTACCTGGCGGTCATCACCACCGAGGGCATGGCCAACGGGCTGCACCCCGTCAGCAAGAACTACCAGGTGCAGTTTGTCACCCTCAAAACCTTCGAGGAGGCGGCTGCGCAGCTCTTGGAATCTTCCGTCCAGAACCTTTTCCGGCAGGTGGACCTGACGGATCTCGTGCGCTGGAAAATTCTGAGGGATAAGCACATTCCCCAGTTCTTACAGGAGGCACTGGATAAAAAGATCGAGAGCTGTGGTTCCACTTACTTCTGGAGGTTTAAGCTGTTTCTCCTGAGGATTTTGTACCAGTCCATGCAGAAGGCTCCCTCAGAGGCCACGTGGAGACCTTCGCACGAGGACGCCAAAATCCTGATCTCGGATTCCCCTGGGATGGGCAGCACGGAGGATGATCAAGAGGAGGGAACTTCGAAACAAGCCAGCAAGCAAAGCCTGTGTGACACAGGCAAAGGTGTGGACTTAGATGACACTGCAGAGGATTCTCTCCATCAGCCAAGTGACACTGCAGGGCGGGAGCCAATGGAGGAAAAACTTCTTGAAATCCAGGCCCAGATTGAGGCCGTGGAAATGCACTTGACTCGGGAACACATGAAACGGGTGTTGGGAGAAGTTTATCTGCACACATGGATTACAGAAAACACCAGCATTCCCACCAGAGGAGTCTGTGACTTCTTAATGTCTGATGATGGCTACGATGACAGAACAGCCCGAGTAAGTGACCTCTGAGCTCAGGGGGTTCCATGTTAGGAGTTAGTTCCTTCTCCTCCCTCCTGAACATACAGCTGGGGTGGGAAAGAGAAGTGCAATCATGTCATCCTTACCAGTCAGCTCCTGCAGAGCATTCTGCTTAAAATGCCCTTCCTTCAAATTGTGGGGTAGGAAGGGATGTAAGTAAGGATGGTGCCTTTTGGATCAGGTACAATAAAGAATAATCCTGCCTGAGGTTTTGCAGCACAAGGGAGAGGACTGGGGTTGTTCTGCTGCTCTCAGTGGCTTAAAACACATACTAATTGAGAGAGATGTTTGTTCTCATGACTGAGCTTATTTAATCATCTCTGCAAAACTAAACTTTGACTGCATCTCCTCTAGTCAGTTATGCTGCAGATCCAATTTTAGGAGCTGCAGAAGTGTCATTTCTGAAAGTCTCTGTAACTGAGCTCTGTGGCTGTTCAGGTGCTACATCAGGTCTTGGCATTGCTCTCTGAGCCTTCAGTGGAAGGATCAGCTCCAGAGGCTGAGACAGGTGGGAACATTCTGCATCAGCCTCCTGGCTCTTCAGACTCAATGACAAGAATGGTTCAAGTTCCTCTTCGTGAGAGGAACAGTTTTTTCAGTCCCTAAGTCCTTAAATCCCCTGAACTCTAAAAATCAGCCTTTACTTTGCATCCAGAAGGGCAGGGGAAGGAAGCACATGCCCACTGCTGATGTGTGTGGTGTTCTCCCTGCTGGAATCACAGGCGTGGCCATCAGTAACTCACTGGGAGAGTATTCTGGCCCAACTGCTGGGTTGTTGCAGCATCCAGTTACGATGAATTGAAGGCTTGAGAGGCTGCTTTGCTTATCTTAGAAACAAGATTCTTCTTTTTATAGTGATTAAAAGCTGACTTCTAGATTCTATTCTATCTGTTTGCTGTCACACTTTGAAGGTCTTTAGGATATGGTTTATGTCGGTTGAAACGTCACAGACAAAGCTGATCCCAGAAATGTTCCAGTGTACGCCCAGCTGGCTGCTCAGGACATGCATCCAGGTCACTTCTGAACAGGAATTATCTTTTAGCACATCCACTGTGGTAGTCATGAGGGAAAGCATTGCTGTAATGGTCAGTGGTGTGATACCAGTTCCTTCAGTACTTTTTAAAATAGCTTAACATTATTGCTCTTCAGGTCTGTGTCTCTTTACTGTGGGTCAGAAATCTTTAGGAGGTGACAACACGAGGAGAATAAATGAACACTTAGTGGGGTGTTACATTTCTTACCCCTTCATTTCTTTGAATTCAGTGCATCCTGTATCATGCTCTGAAACCACAGTACCCTGGGAGGCATTTGCACCCCTCAGCTGTGCTGCTGTAATCCCTGCTGACTCCCGTGTGTTCCAGGTGCTGATTGGGCACATCCTGAAGAAAATGAACAAACAGACGTTCCCGGAGCACTGCAGTTTGTGCAAAGAGATCCTGCCCTTCACCGACCGCAAGCAGGCCGTGTGCTCCAACGGCCACATCTGGCTCAGGTAACTGGGGCTGCAGGAGCTTTTACCCTCCTCTGGATCATCTGAACATACTGGAAGAGTTCACCTAAACTGCTTGTTAGTGTTGGAGTAAAAAGTCATGAAGCATCTTACCCATGCTGCAGTGCTTGCTGGCTGTTACTTGTCCTCTTCCATGAGAGAGGGAGGGCAGTGGATTTGGTTCCTTAGCAGTACAGGGTTTTTTTTTAATAATAAATTTCTACTTTATAAATATATTTATAATAAAATAAATATTAATTTTATAATAAAATGGGGTTTGATCCTCTTTTTAATTTTTTTCCCCACGTGGGGGAAGGTGGGGACAGGGAAAAAGCAGGCAAGGGAAAATTAGGGACAAGTCGTCCTTTGTGGAACATCAGGCCAAGGGAAGGTTTGTTCTGGCTCCTTCATTGTTTGAAAACAAAAGCAGTGTTAACAAAAAAAAGATTGGAAACAGGCACACTGAGAAGTCAGGCAAGTTCTGGAACATCTAGAAAATAAAATCTTCCTGTGTGGGGTTCATGGAGATTGTCCCTGAAGCCTTGGCAAGACAGTAGTGTGTCCCAAAGATAAAACTTTGCCTCACAGGCACTGTGTGCTACTTCGGGTAAACAGGCATGGCCTGAAGGAGCCTCAAGCTTTTCACCTCCTCTGCTACATGCTAAAAATACTCTGGCCAGTGATGAAACCTTTTCCAGTGGTATATTGATAAAACTCCTCGTCCTTCCACAGGTGCTTTCTGACCTACCAGTCCTGTCAGAGTCTGGTGTACAGGAGGTGTTTGCTTCACGACAGCATCGCACGGCACCCAACCCCCGAAGGTAAATTGTCCTGGGGCAAAAGGGGCACGATTAGGTCTTTTTAACTTGCATCTGCAAAATGTCTTCAATTAGTTCCATTGACTTTTCTCTTTCAGACACTTACCATGTGAAGCACCAGTGCTCTGCACTTCACAATGTCCTGTTGTCTGATGTGTTAATTGCTAATCAGTGACTGCAGAAATTGATGTATAAATCCCACATTTTAATGAGAGCTGGGTAAACACAATCTGTGCTGGAATGCTACAGCAGTTAGTTTACATTCAGGTTGAATATATTAGCATCCAGTTATGGAAGAGGGACAAAGAAACAGGAACCAAGGACTGTGTTATGTGAAGGATCTAATTTCGGTTTAGAAAATGAGAACACCACATTTGTGCCATGGTGAACCTTTAAATTTATTTCCTATATAGGTATTTAGATGAGTGTGTAAGGATATAGCACAGGCTGTTCCACCTTTGCTTTGTCCCCTGCTGAGGTGGAATTTAAACTGGCGTTACTTAAAATTTCAGAACAGAAATGGAGTTGAATTCCTCTGAATTCTCAGTTACTCCTGCATGGTGAATATAAACTGTTCAGCATCCCTCTTTGTGCATCTCAGGTGTCATTCCTCTGTTCATCTCTACCCTCAGCTTTGAACAATTTGTTTTCTTATTTGCAGATCCTGAATGGATCAAGAGGTTATTGCAAGGACCTTGCACGTTCTGTGACTCTCCCGTGTTCTAGAGAAAAGCTCTGCAAAGACTGAAAGTGTTTTCTCTACTCCATAAGCTCCCCTCAGCCTCGAGGGCCACAGAGCACAGGAGCACATTGTCCACAGCCCTGTACATACAACATCAGGGGTTCTGCAAACTCCTCGAATCCAGAGCCCATTCCACGCTCCAGAAACAGGAGTACACCTGGAAGAGCCAGTTTAAAAGAGGTTTGGAAGAGCACCCCATGGAAGGCTCAGCAGCTGGACACTGACAACTGAAGTGTTGAGCACAGTGTGAACTGTCCTTTCTGCCCAAATGTGTCATTTCCCAAAAGCTGGGACGGGAACATGGAGCTGCCTCTGGAACAGTCCTGGTGGGTAGAGAAGGCTTCAGCTTGTAGTGCTCCCTTTGCTTTTTAACAAGCACTGGCACTTGCTGCAGAATATTAAACTATCAAAAGAATTTGTGGCTCCAGTTCCTTGCTGAGCGAAGCACGTGCCAGTTACAGCCATGGGAAAGAAATTGGCCATTCCAGTATTTTCACTTAAAGTCTAGAAGAGTAACTGTTGTAACACTCTTGAGGTCAGGAGGGGGATATTGGCTGCCTGGGTCAAACAGGGATCAGTAAAAATAATTTTAAAATGTAATAATTGTTAAACTAATAGCAATTAGACTAAACACTAATATATATATATAGAATTTCCAGTGCTCTTAATTCTCTTACCCCACTTTCTTTTTCTGAGCTAACTCCTTCCCAGCTTTTGCCAATGTATTTGCCTTTGGCTTCACTTCACCCTCTACCAACAGGAATCATCTTTTCCTTTTTTAAATTACTAATTTACCTTATTTTCAATTAAATTGCAAGTCTTTCTCATCCAGGAATTGAGTTTTACACAAGTTTGACACACAAGCAATCACTCCCAGCTGACAGTTTCTCTTTTCATAGCAACACAGTAAAAACCCCCAAACAAAGAGAACACCCCAAACCAAACCCCCACCGTGGCTGATGTTCCAGGTAAGGCCAAGGAGTCTGATGAAGCTGTTCATGGATTACAGAATGGTTTGGGTTGGAAGGGACCTTTAGGATCATCTCATTCCACCCCCTGCCATGGGCAGGGACACCTTCCACTCACCCAGGTTGCTCCAAGCCCCGTCCAACCTGGCCCTCCCAGGGATGGGGCAGCCACAGCTTCTCTGGGCAACCTGTGCCAGGACCTCAACACCTCACAGGGAACAATTTCTTCCCAATATCCCATTAACCCTTCCCTCTGTCAGTGTGAAGCCATTCCCTCTTGTCCTGTCACTCCAGGCCCTTGTAAATAGTCTCTCTCCATCTTTCTTGTAGGCTCCTTCAGGATAACCCCAGTCCCTCATCCAGGGATTCACAAACACACCAGTGATGTAGTGTGGCTGCACCCGGACATTTATTTTGCCTTCTAACTGTCCTATCAGAAAAAAACATCTCTCTCTCTCCCTGTTCCTACCAGGAGCAGGAGAATCTTTTTCAACTTCCTATGCAGTGTTAGAGGAATAACACCTCCAAAATGTCTCTGGTTACCTGGTACAGTTTGTCTTGTTAACTTCAATCCATGCTGTCAAATAATCCTGAGTTTATGTATTTCCATTCTGCAGAGCATCAGTGGCAGAGGTGTCGCCCTGTTGGTGATTCCTGACACTTTAACTGTGTGGGAGGTGCTCTACAGCTGTTGAGAAATCGTGGAATTGTCCTGACAGCATCAGTCTCCCAACAGTGCATGTGTGATTGGTGCTTGGTTTCTCGATTCAATGACTATGCATATTTTGGAAATGTTCCTTCACCTCCAGTAGAAGCAAGTTTTTGTTCAGCTCACATTAACCGAGTCAGCTGTCCTTCTGTTCAGTGTCTCATGCATAAGCATGACCGTGCTGAGAATAATATTAATACAGTAGCCTAGAACAGCAGAAGCACATTCATCTGTAAAATAATTAGCCTTGTTTGTAAATATCCTTGGAAGTGGTACCATAATTGTATTAAAGAAATGTTTAGTTTTTTATTGCTGTGCATTGAAAAGTGAAATTACTTCAATGTGTGTCTGCAAAGAAAGGAAATGTAGCTCGTGATGGCATCCAGTAAAACACAGCGTAACCTCGATAGCCAACGTGTGTGGAGTTTGGGGCCAGCCCTGGGACAACTCTGCTCTCCTTCCCAGTGCTGATGGGGCTTGGGGGGAGCAGAACAACCATTTCCAGCCTGAGCTGAACAGGTGCTTGACTTGTGGTGCCTGAGAAAGTTCTATTCTAAGTGGGAGCTGCAAGTCCTTGCCCTGACAGTCGTGACCTGCTCATCAGTAAATGTTCCAAATCAGAAACTTTCCTGCCTGTGGCAAAGGGGAGGGAGCTCTGCAGAACCATGTCAGTGCTCTCAGAAAAAGTCCAAGGGTCACTGCTTTGATAGTGGCTTAGAAACCATAAAAATATCCTGATCTGCTGAAGTGTTTTCAGTCTGGCTGACCCAAAGGCTCAGCATAATAACAGATTAGATTAATTCCTGGTGATTACTTCTGGAACTCTTGAATTTCCCCGGATTGAGTTTTAATGCTTTGCCATGTAGAAGCTTTAGCACACCTCACATTAACGTGGCAGCATTAATGTTCATTTTCTTTGTCTCTCAAGGCAGTAAATACTCAGTCCAGCACTGCCAGTTTATTTAACCTGGTTTCAGACTGCTGGGAGAAGGGAATTTTCAAGCCCACAGCGTCAGCTTTGCCTGCCAGTGGCGATCCTTTGGCACGAAGCTTTCACTTCTCACCTGACCCATTCACAACAGTGCCCAGGAATTGGGATTTCATTTTTGTTTAGACCAGCACTTGTCCCTCAGTGCATTTTTAACCAGCAAGGCTGGAAAAGCAGAGTCCCCCTCGGGCAGTGACGTTTAACCCCTGCTGCTGCTCTGAGGGGGTTTTTCTGCCCACTGAGCAGCTCAGGCTGCTGCAGGAGACCATTTACCTCCTGGACTCGTGGTGTGCAGTTCTGGGAACACACAGGTTAGTCCCATTCCTGGAGCACTGGAACAACCCACACACTATCCTAATCAAACCTTTTGCTTTCATCCCATGGGAAAGGCAAAAAAGGGAGCAAGGTGGGAGCACCTGCTGCCAGCTCCTCGTGCTATTTTGCCACTAATGGAGTTGCCTCCCCAAACTAACAGATAGCAGAGACACCAGGTGAAGTGTTGCAAGAACAAATCCCACAGGATCAGGGAGTTTATCTCACTGTGTTTTTGCCTAAGTGTTGCAGGACATTTCAAACAAGTGAATAGTTGAAGGTTGTCCTCAACTACTTCACCATTTGGTGGTGAACGCTCTGGCTGTTCATGGTGCCTCATCTCCAGAGGGAGAATCACACCAGCAGACAAATGAGGGCTTCTGATGCACTGCTGCTTTTATTAAGGGTTGTGGTATTTGCTCCTGCAGCTGAGAATCAATAGCCAAAGGTTCTGTTCTGTGTCCAAAGCTAATGTGTCATTGTTCCTGATAAGTAGCTTCTGATAGCATTTAAGATTTGCTACTCACACTGATAACAGAGTTTATCCCTCCTCCACTGGGATGAAGAAATCCAGGCTAATCCAGGTTTGGTGGATAAGCAGAACAGCTCTGGACTGTAGAGTGTCCCAGTGCCTTGGTGCTGGATGCCATTCCTGGAACTAAGGTGCAAGTCTGGGGTCATGAGGACTCAGCCCTGTCTCCAAATTACACCTCCTGCTCTGGAATTGGTGACAGGGGACCTCCTTGTTGCCTTTTACCTCAGTTCAGCTCTGGATCAGGGGCTTCATCGTTCAGTTACCCTTTCCTTTCATGTGTTTCCTCATCCTATTAATCCTGTGGCATATTTCTAGAGAGGAAATGCTAATTTTTGTTGCTAATGCACAAAGCCAATAAGCGTCTCCCTGATTTTCTTAAATCTACCAGGATTTCCACTGGGTAATGTATCATCAGCGATCATGAGCGACACAACACCACTTTCTCTGTCCTCATTAAGGGTTTCTTGACATAAAAGGACTTAATGCAACCACAGTCCTAGTTCAAGACCAACAGATCACACTGTTCTGCCCTAAAATACCCTTTACAGGAGACCTGTTTGTACAAGTGTGATCTCCCCAATACAAAGCCCTTCCTCTATGACTTCCCACTTGGGAAGCAGGACAGCCTTGCAGGCACAGCTGCTGGAGTCTCAGGTGCCACCTACAGCTCTGGAATCAGGGAGAGGAAGAGCCATTCCTGCTCCATGGAGCAGGTCAGGGTTCATGGCTGAGGCTGTGACATCACCTGAGCACCATCCAAACCTCAGGGGGAGAGGTAAGAGCAGGAAAATCTTTCAGGAGCTACGAGGAGTTCCCGCAGAGATGGTGCTGGAGATACAGGGTGCCCTGTCCAGGGGTGTTCAAGTGTCCTTCCACCACTGAAGATCTGGTGCCAGGAGCAGGTGGCACAAAAGTTTGTGGAGCAGCTGGACAACCACCTTGTTGCTGAACTAGGTAATGAACAGCATAACATATAGGGTATGGCACAACCTCCGAGCAGCCCTCCCTGCAAAGTGTCTCTGGGAAGCAGAGTGATGGAAGATGTCCATTCCAGACCCGGACAAGCTGCACAATAAGTAAAATCTAATCCCTGCTGTGTTCTTCCCACCTCCTCTTTACCTTGTTTTTCCCATTGCTCAACATTTGTTTTGCCAGAATAAGATGCTAATAAAATCAACCAAATTGGTTTTTTGAAGTGTTGCATTCCAATTATAAAAGCCTAATTCCTCCTTCCACCCACTGAACCTTTTTGGCATTAACAGGCTTTACTATGCAAAGTCATGCAGGGGCTGTTTCGTTTACAGTAATTAAATGAATGTCAATTGTTTTAGTTGTTTCTGAGGGAGAGTTCTACATGAGTATTAGCATGTTCTGCTAACCCTTACGTTCTGCACTTCAGGCCTGCTGCAAACCCTTGGGGGTTGACCATTGACCTGAGACTCCATACCCAGACATGCCAAGTGCATCTCAATGAGACTGAGCCCTTTTTCTCAGTTTCTATGGAACCAGCGGAGCAGAACTAATATAGAGCCCGCATATAGATGAAAGAATGAAGAGGAAAAAGGGCTTTACAGCTAAATTAATTAAGCAGATGTACCTGTCTAATTAAAGATGCGCTGTCCCTTTTGTACCCCAGCCGCAGTACAAACAGTATTTAAATCCACTCCCTTCCCATTTCATCTATCAAAATATTTAGTAGGAGCGCTCAGATGAAGGTGATATTAGCAAGATGAGCTTCCCATGTATTATTAATAGAAGGGCTCCCAATTATGCATGAATGCTACAGCGTGTCTTGATAGCAACGGCATAAAAACCAGCTGCCCAAGCAGTTACCAAACAGCACATTTGTAACAGGTAGGACTGTTACAAATCCCTTGCCCAGCTGTGCACGAGGGTTTGTGGCTGAGCCCTGTGCCCTGGGAGCAGCCTCTGCCTCAGCCTGGCACCAGGAGCTGGAATTTCTCAGGGCAAGAGGCATCGAGGACTCAGCTGCTTGGGCTGGGCTTTCTTAGGTTTCAAAGATGCTCACTCCGAGATTTTTAAGATTTCCAGCCCTCGAGGCTGCAAAGCCCAACTCCCATTCACCAACCCTGCCAAAGATATTGAAAATTCCGACTTTAAAGCCGCCCAAAATAACACAAGATTGTCACAGCCATCCAGATAAGTAGGGTCTTCCCACCTGAAGTTACTCTAGAGGAACAAGAAGGAAGTTTGGCATGTACATCTCTCAGTTCCCCAGACAGACTCAGACACACACAGTTAAAAACAGCAACAAAGACCCAAAGCTATTTACAGCAAGTCAGAGAAGTCATCTAAACCCAAAAGGCTTTTTCTGGAGGCCTGTCCTCTCTGAAGGGACAAGGCACAAGGGACTCCTGCACATTCCCAGACACAGAGACTTCCAAGAGAAAGCTGAGGCTCCTCCCCATCCCCTGGTCAGGAGGAATTCACACTCACACACAAGGGAGGAACAGGGGGAGCCGTAATAGATGCATCAAAGGCAGTTCCCCTCTGAGCCACAGCACAAATCACACCCCTTTCCCACAGGCATTAAGGATGTGCAGAATCTGAGACAGCTAAATGACTGCTGTGCCTTTCATCTGAGATTTTCCAGTTAAAAAAGACTTACCTGAGCATTTACTGCAGCCAGATCCAGCCAGAGCAAAAATCCTGGGCACCAACCTGCCCTGGCACAGCCCAATCAAGGCAGCTACAGATTTGGAGCTGGGCTTCCCCCAGCAACACAGAATTAGTAACTTCTCTGCTCCTGCAGCTTGTTATGTCCTTGGTCGGGATCTGAAAGTGATGAACCTGCAGCCACTTTCCTGGGGCTCTGGAGATCTTTTCCAGCTGTTCTGAGTCTTCCTGCCCAGCAGAACAGGGTGACAGGGATGGCTGGTGCATCTGCAGAGGGTTTTATCAGAGTTTTTTTTAAGCAATCTGAGTTGACAAGGGAGTAAAAACCTCTGCACTCTGACCTCATGCACTGTGCTGTGTTTGGGGACAGTTCACTGCTGGCAGCAGCCTGGGACAGAGCAGTGCCTGTGTGGTTTTAGTGGAAAGCAGTGGGTGAATTAAGACACAAACACGTCTAACAGCTTTAATACTCCAAATTGGCTTCGTGGGTATTGCACAGTTAAGACAAAACTACTACTCAGAAAGAGAAAAAGATATTTGAATTAAACAGGACTTCCCTCACCACGGTGCTTCCTACTTTGCATCACGAAGCAAAAGCCAAAAAAATTTCCTCTACAGCCCAGTTTCTTACTCTCTGTACTTTCACTCAGCCTTGGTGAGCTCCAAATTTAACACAGCTTGGCTGACTTCCTCTTCCCCTGTGATAACCTGCCACTGCAGCAACCAGCCTGCAAATATGACAGGGGGAAAACTTTCAAATCAACTCTTCCAGCCACCGTCCTTTTTAATTACAAATGTCTAAATTTCCTACACGGAAGGGGCTTAATGATGCAGCTTTCTATGAACTCAAAGACAGCATAAGGGTCTTGGTCAGCATTGACATAAAAGGCGTCCTCATAGAAATCCTCCAGGTCCTTGACATTCCTGTAATAGCTTTCCAGGCGCTTCTCAATATTTTCTTCCTGGTCTCTGGGGTTCTGCCTGAGCCGGGCCTGGATCTCCGGGGTGGGAGCTGGTCTGAAGGTGGTGTGGTACCTGGAGGGGAGACAGAAATGCCCCTGTGTCAGCCCAGGCTGAGGACACAGCAGCCATTTCCTGATAGTCTATCACAGTTCCTTGGATGTGCCTCTTTTTCTACTTTAGGTTGGGTTTTTAAAACAAAGGATTCTACAGGACAGAGGGTTCTCATCCTCAAAGTCCTGCCAGATGACAGCAAAAGAATCCTGAGGGTGTTCCAGCATTGCCAGAGGCTCCCAACAATCTCTAAAAGCTCCTTAGCAAACAGGTGTTTAAATTCCCTGCCATGGGAACTGGTAATTCTAACTCTGAGGAAATGTCTCCTCTGCCCTGACACAAAACAACTGGGAGAAGAGAAGCAGAGCTTGGGTCTCTGCACAGAGCTTGCATTCCAGCTCCAGCTGGTGCTGGATGTGGACACAGAGCCCCTTGCACAGGAGAGTCACCGAGGGCACAGCTGAAGGCCA